GGACCCTGTGCTTTCTGCATCCCCACCAGACACATCCTCACCGCCGAGGGCAACACAGTGCCCTGGGGTGGTGGCAGGGTCGCTGGGGATGCCCCTGGGTGCTCTGATCCGGGGGGGCCTGCGGGGCTTCTCCAGGCTGGCATCAAAAAGAGAGGAGGAGGAGGAGGAAGCATTGAGCCTCGCTGCTGAGGCCTGAAGGCGGATCTTGGTGCGGGGGGTGACATGGCAGAACTGGGGATGCTGCAGCCCCTGTGAAGTGACATCCCCTACAGCAGGGCTGCAAGGGAGCTCCAGGCTGCAGGGGAGGGAGCCCTCGAGGCTGCAGCCCTGGAACAGCACAGGCAGCTCCTCCGCAGCTGAGGGGTTCTGGGCAGGCAGCTCACAGGGTCCTGCTGAGGAGGGGGCTTCTCCTGGGCACACCCCAGCCCTGCTGGGCTCCAACATCTCCACTGCAGTGAGGAAATGCTCGCTATCCTCACTGCTGTCCCCAGGGAGATCATGGCCTCTGGTTCCTGCTTCCAACACCCCACAATCCCTGCTGCAGCGCAGGGGCTGGGGGGGGCTCCTGGCCCCAGCAGTGGGCTGCAGGGAGGAGCTGCACGCCCCCGTTCCCTTTAGGGGTACCTCCTCATGCTCACCCCCAGCCCAGAGCAGTGTGCTGGATGCCAGGGGCTGCAGAGGCAGAGCCGGACACCCTGGGGTGAGGGAGGAACCCAAGGAGGGTTGAGCACAGCACGAGGGCTCCCCCAGCCCACAGCTGCCCCCCAGCCCGGGCTCCTCCAGCTGGGTCACGCGAGTGCTGCTCAGCAGCTCCGCAGCGCTGCAATCCTCGGACAAGAAGGACAGTGAGCGCCGGAGTCCCTGGGGGGCCGGGAGGCTCCAGTCCCGCAGGAGCCGCACGCACAGCCCATGGCCCTGCTCCAGCGCCAGGTCGATGGCTCGCTTCCCGTCCTGCAGGGAGGGAACACCGCTGCTGGTATCGCTCCCACCAGGGACGGAGGGCTCCGAGGCGCCGCCCCCAGCGCTAACCTGGTCCCGCAGCTCCGGGTCCCCCCCGTTCTGCAGCAGCAGCTCCAGGCACCCGCAGCTCCCCCAGGACGCAGCGACGTGCAGCGGCGTGAGCCCCTCGGCAGCCCTACCACCGTACCGGCGTCACCGCCGTCCTCTCGGGGGCTCCGCTCCCACTCGGCAGAACGGAGCCGAGCTCCCCAAGGCCGTTACCTGGCATTGGGGTCCCCTCCGTAGCGCAGCAGCAGCCGCAAGCAGCGCACGCCTCCCCCGGACCCCCCCGCAGCGCTCAGATGGATGGGGGCGAACCCCCCTGAAAGCAGCAGATTGGGGTCGGCCCCGTGCCGCAGGAGGACCTCCACCGCCCTGCGGGGGGACAACGCGGGGTCACCGCCCCTACCGCAGCATCACCTGAGCCTCGGCCACACGGCAAAGCGACAGCCCGGGCTGCAAAGCCCACGCCGCCGCCGCGAAGCCCGGGCTGCTGCAACGCCCGACCCTTCCCCGTGCAACCTTCGACCCCTGACCCGTCCCGTCCCATCCCATCCCGTCTCATCCCATCCCATCCCATCCCGATGCCCTCTTACTCCTCGCGCCCGCCCCGCAGCGCCGCGCACAGCCGCCCCGCCGCCCCGCGCCGCCCCGCGCCATTCATGCCGCCCTGCGCACGCGCCTCCCAGCTTCGAATTCCCCGCGCGCCGCCGCTGATTGGCGGGCGAGGCGACCAATAGGAGGAGGCCAGAGGCCGCCACGCCCTTCCGCCGGATGTGGGGAAGAACGAAGGGGGCGTGACCACAAATGCCGAGCTGCGGCGCCCGCTGCCTGCCCCACTTCCGCCCGGTGCCTCCAGCGCTCCGCACCAGCGCCACCCAGCGCCGCGCTCCAGCATTGCACGCAGTGCCCCGCGCAGCGCTGCGCGCATAACTGCCCGATGCTTCCCACTACCCTGCATCGTCACCACCCAGTGCCTCCCAGTTATGACCCCTCCCAGCCCCTCACCACGTCCAGCAGCAGCCCCAGTGCTGCCCTGTGCCCCCGGATATCCCCTGCCATCCACAGCATCCTTCACATCCCCCTGGGCGTCCTCACCTCCCTCACATCTCCAGTACAGAAACCACCACACCACCACCACAGCCAGGCAGGAAAACATCTCTTTTTTCCCCGTTTCCACGGCCGTGCACCCAAACCCAATGGTGTGGTGGCCGTGGGGTGGCCCTTCCCCAGATCAGACGGTGGCCTCCACTTCGGGGGGCTCGTCCCCCTCCAGCAGGCTGTATGCTGCATGGCTCTGGAAGGGTCTCTGCAGGGGATGCGCCAGCAGCTTGGCCATGCAGTTGTGCAGCTCCACCGCTGGCCCCGTCAGAGTCACCTCATACCTGTAGTTGGTGCCCTTGGTGTCCAAGCTACCAAAGAAGGCATACAGCTCCTGAGGGGCAAAGGATGTGAGCAGCAGGGGGGTGGCACAGCGCTGTCTCCCCCCACTCCTTCCATGCATACCTTCCAGCTGGTCTCATCCTCCTTCTCCTCCGCCCCATTGTGGATGTAGACGACGTCGAAGAAGAAATAAGGGCACTGCAGCATCTTCTGCAGGGGGAGAAGCGAGCACGGCTCCGCATGCACCAGCGTGCAGAAATTGGTGTTCAGCCCAGGGGGGTGAGGAGGGGGGGGTTCCTTACCTTCATCTGCTCCGACACAGAGAACTGGGGCTGGCAGCCGGGGCGGCCGAGCACCAGGATGGTGCGCACCACGTAGGGTGGCGGGATGGTCTGCACGTTGTCCGTCACCGGCAGCTCGATCTTCTGCTGGCTGTGATGCCATGCTGGGACTGAGCGCCACGCAATGCCTCCCCCCGCCCCAATAACACCCCCCAGGGGCTGCTCTGCGCTGGGAGCTTCCAGCCCTGACCCCCCCAGCGCTGCCCCCCCAGCTGTATGGACTCACATGAGGTTGAAGAGCCCATCCAGATCTGCGGTGTGAGGTAAGGAGCAGTGCTGGCACACAGAACCCCCCCCCCCACCCCCATAACCAAACCCAACGCGCACCAGTGATGCAGCAGAATGGGACAAAACTGGGGGCAAAACCTCCAGAAATGCCATTTGGTGGCTGTGGAGGAGCTGGCATCACACCCATAGCACAGAGTCAGCTGCACCAGGGGCACCGTGGGTCTCTGCCCTCTGCAAGAATGGACTGAGACCCCTTCCTGCCCCAGTATCAGTGGATACTGAAGGACTTGCAGACGACGGTCTCCAGGTCGTAGAGGCAGCTGCAGACCTCACGGGGGTCCGAGGTGAACCCTGAAAGCTGGGAGGGGGCAGGTGAGGGTCACAGAGCCATCCCCATCCCCATTTCATCCCCATCCCATTCCATCCCCATTTCATCCCCATCCCCATCCCACCTCATCCCCACTCACCCACGTGGCATCATTGTTCACCACCACCAGTGCAAACTCGTGGCTCTTGTCAATCTTGTGCTTCGTCCTCACAAACATCTCAATCATCTTCTGTGAGATGTTCAGTGCGTTGGTCTTGGAGCTGCCAGGATGTTGGGGAAAGGAGGGGGGGGCACAGCGCTCAGCAGGGTCCCCCCCTCTCACCCCTTCCCCACACCAGCCCCACCACTCACTCACCCATTAAACGACTCCAGCTTGGGTAGAGCCATCTCCTCAGCCAGATCCAGGCAGATGATCTGGGTGAGACCCCCATGGCTGAGCCCTGCACCCCACAACCGAGCCCCCCCCCCCCCCCCGAACCACGCACTCACCACCTTCTCAGGGCAGTTCACCCTCGGCGTCTTCACCTGCACCTCGGGAGGGGGGTGTGCAGGGCCGGGCCAGGCGGTGCCATCGGGGGCTGCGGTGCCCTGGGGGCTGTCCTCACTGCTGGCCGCCTCCCCCTCGCCCTCACTGCGGTTGCCCACACTGCTCTGAGCGCTCAGTGCCCGATCCTCAGCACCTTCAGGGTTGGAGCGAGTGCGGGGCCGCTGCTCCGGAGCTTTTTCCTCCTCCTCCTCAGCAGCACTGCCCGGCCCAGACGTGTCCATCCCGCAGCTGCGCTCCATGGCACCGAGCTGGGGGGGAGGGGGGGGCTGTGAGGGGCGGGGGCTCATTGCACCCCAGCTCTGTGCACCCCGTATCCGTGCTCTCTTCATGCTGTGCACCCTTTGCTCAGTGCACCCCATACCCCATGCGTACCGTGTGACCCAATCCCCAGGCACCCCCTGCTCCGCGCACCCCACAACCACAAACTCCTCGTTCTGTGCACTCCGTACCCCACGCATCCTCTGCTCTGTGCACCCCATACCCCTGCACCCCCAGCTCCGTGCACCCCCAGCTCCGTGCACCCCACACCCGCGCACCCCCAGCTTTGTGCACCCTCTCCTCCCACACCCCGCACTCTGCACACCCCCTCGCCCCATTCACCCCCACCCCTCTCCCTCCCGTTCCACGCACCCCATTCTCGTGCCCTCCCCCTCGCTCTGCACCCCCCCCCCCCGGCACACACGGACCCCAACCCCCCCCCGCTGCCCCTCATCCCCGCTCTCACCCGCTCTCGGCCGCCCGAGCCCCGCTCGGCGCAACCCGGAAGTGCCCCCCCTCGCAGGGGCTGCTGGGAGTTGTAGTTCTCCGGGCGCTGCTGACACGTGGCGTCACCCGGGCGCGCACCGCACCCCGAACACGTGTGCACCGCCGTGCAACAGCCCCTGCACTCCAAATACCCACGCGCGCAGCCTCCTGCACCCCCAAAAATCCGTGCGCACCGTCCTGCACTCGTGCAAATCCTCCTGCACTCAAGGACACTGAGCAGAGTGGTGCTCCCAGCTGGCTCCATGGGCAGCCACGTGCACGGGAGGCTCGGCGTGGGGCAGAGCGGGGCCTCAGGGTGGGGATGGGGTCCCCAGAGCCCCCCAGGATGGCCGTCACCCGGCGCAGGGCAGCGCAACAGTTAAGTGCAGGATGCAGCGGGGCTGCTGAGGAAGAGGAAATCTCAGCAGGAACACAGAGTGGCCAAGGCCAGGGGCGGCCCCGCAGGGCCCCACCAGCAGCAGGATCCGGTCATTGCGGGATCCGGTCACTGTGGGGCCAAGCTGTGGGGCTGAACTGTGGGGCCGGGTGCTGGCAGGCGACGTGGGATGGAGGAGGCGAGTGGGGTGACCCAGAAGGCACAGGGTGCTTCAGGTCCCCAGAGCTCATTTTTTGTCCCCATCTCTGCCAAACTGCATCCGGCAGCAGCCTCACTGCACCCCAACCACACAGGCACCCCCTCTGCACATTTTGACCCCCAGGGCCAGGCTGGGCAGAGCCCCTGCTCCCCACTGCGTCTTGCAAGCGAGCGGCTGGACGAGGACAAGGGCAGGGATGAGGACGAGGACAAGGATGAAGATGAGGACCCAGCTGCGGCAGGGGACGAGCAGCACATCACCACGCTGCTGGCCAGCACAAACCCCCACAGCACTCGGCATCTGCCCCATAAGGAGGAAGAAGAGCACTCGGGGGGCACCAGCAGCCCCCGCCCCGATGGGCGGCAGCCTCAAGGGCTCGATGGCACTGGGCCGGAAGGTGGGTGCAGCTCTCCGTGCCATGCTTTGCCATGGCGCACTGCGCTGTGCCACGGTGCTGCGTGCCGCGCCACGCCAGGAGCTGACCCCGCGCCCCCTCCCCAGCCCCCCGCCCCGACCTCTTTGCTGCCCTGCAGCACGCCGTCAGCTCGTTGGAACGCGCCGTCATCTCCCGGCATCGGCGCACGCCGGCACCGCCAGCAGAGTGGGCACAGGTGGGGCAGCGCGGCCATGGACAGCCCCAACACCACGGGGGTGGGCACTGCCCCACGGCCTTGTGCCTCCAGAGCCTGGAGGAGCTGCAGCGCGTGGCGGGGACGTGGCAGGGCCTGGAGAGGGGCGAGGGGCTGCTGGAGGCGGCGGCGAGGAACGCGGCGCTGCTGGAGGCGCTGGGGCACCGCGACGAGGAGCTGAGCCGCACCACGGAGGCACTGCAGGCGTTGCAGGGGGAGCGCGAGCGGCTGCAGGGGAAGGTGGGTGTGGGGCAGCACCGGTCTGAGCCCCACGGTTTGGGCCTTGGGTTCAGCGCTGTGTTCACACAGGTGTGGGAGCTGCAGGAGGCTCTGGCCAGGCTGGAAGGAATGGGTGGTGCTGGGGGTGACGCCGTGGGGCTCGGCAGTGCTCCAAGACTGGGGGACCCCCAGGTGAGTGCGGGGCAAGGGTGGATGGGGCTCCATTTAGGGGATCCCCCTCAGTGCTGGGCTCTCCTTGTCCCCTCTGCAGGACTTGTCCGGCTGCCTCCTGAGCTACGACGAAGCTCAGCACCAAAGCGCTCAGCCCCACAGCCCGCTCTCCCCCCTGCCCTCAGAAGGTGCCAGCCAGGAGCTGGAGGACAGGATGCAACAGCTACAGGGGTGAGTCCCCCCGACCCCAGCAACTGCTGAGCACCTCTGGTGGGGAAACTGAGGCACAGAGCTGACCGGGCAGCGATGCACAGGCACATGGAGAGGCTGAAGGAGGTGAACCAGCAGCTCTCGGCTGCCCTGCACGACTGCAAGAGCGATTCGGAGCGGCTCAGCATGGTGCTGGGGCAGCACGAGTCACGCAGCAGCGCGCTGCGCCTGGCACTGCAATGCAGGTGGGGATGGGGCAGGGATGGGGTTGGGGTTTGGGGGGTGGGGGGGGGAACAGCCCCAGTGCTGCGCTGAGCCCCTCTGTGTGCAGTGAGCGCTGCGTGGACGCCTATGCTGCACTGCTGGAACGGATGTGGGCGAAGCTGGGCAGGGATGGGCACGGCCCCAACGATGGTGAGTGCCAACCTGGGGGATGAGGGACGTGGGGGTGCTGAGGGTCATCTGTGGGGGGATGGAGGAAGGAGGCTGTGTTGAGGGGATGGCGGGAGGATATTGGGAGGATGCTGCAGGCGTGCAGGGGTATATAATGGGATTTTGTGGGGATTCTGAGGGGATGTGGGCATCCTGGGTGCTGGCACACTGAGCACGCCGTGGCCACGCCACCCATCCCATTCCCAGGAGCCATGGGGAAGCAGAGCGCAGATTATGGCTGTGGGCCCAGCCCCACACAGAGCCTGCAGCTCCCGGGCCAAGCAGAGCCGAAGGACAGCGGGGTCAGCTCCTGCCCCAGGCTGCACAGGTACCCCATTCCCATCCCCAAGGTGTCCCAGCACCCTACGCCCACCTCACTGCCCCTTCATCCCTGTCCACACAGCGCCCACGGGTCAGAGGAGGGGGCCCTGCGTGAGGCCATCCGGCAGCTGCGTGCCGAGCAGGCGGCCGTGCAGGTGTCCCTGAGCCATGTCCCCATGCCCACCCGCGCCCCATCCCGCTGTGGTGAGGACATCCGTGCCCGTGCTGAGCGTGCTCTGCAGGATGCTCGTGCCCTCCTGCCTGGCTGGAGGCGGCCAGAGAGAGCGGAGCTGCTGCGGGAGATCGCGGAGCTGAAGGTGAGCACAGCGAGGTCCCCCGGGGGAGGTGACGACGGGAGGTGATGGTGACAGCATTGCTCTGCCAGGAGGCCATGGCCGAGCTGAGGATGCGGCTGCAGTTGGCAGAGAAGGAGAAGAGGGGCTTGGAAGTGCTGGCGGCTGCACAGGGCCCACGGGAGGCAGCGCTGCGCCTGGTGCTGCAGCACATGGAGCGGGAGCAGGGGGCTCACAGCCCCTCCAGCAGCTCCAGCAGCAGCGAGGAGGTGAGGCTCCCTGCGTCCCGGGGGCTGCTCGGTGCTGACCCCCCCCCGCACACACACTGCTGCCCCCCTCTGCTCTCTGCAGGATGCTCCGATGGGAGCAGCAGCACCGCAGCGCCCTGCGGACCCGGAGAGGACGGCGCAGGAGCTGCAGCGTGCTTTGGCACGGTGAGAGCCCACAGCTCTGGGTGTGCTGCATTAATTGCAGCGCTGTGCCGGGCACTGCCATGCGTGTGTCCCACAGCATCGAGCAGCTGCACGCCCGAGCGCAGGCCCTGGTGCTGTCCCTGGAGCAGAGCAGTGCTGTCAGCCGTGCGCAGCACCAGAAGTGCATCGCCGTCACCAGAGAGTCCTTCCATGCTCACAGGTGGGCAAGGGCAGCCTAAACCATGGGGCTTTCCTGCCCGTCCCTGTGCACGTCCCCCCTGCGTGCCCCAAAGCACCGTTCCTTCCTGCACCCTCTCAAAACTCTCCGCCTTCCTGCGCACCCCAGAAGTGCCGTCCCTTCCTGCGCACCCGCAAAGCAAGATCTCCTCCTGCAAAGCACCCTTCCCGCAAAGCACAAAGCGCCGTCTCCCTTTCCGCTCTCCCTGCCTGCACTCGGTCACCATGCACCCACCACAGCCTGCCCCCACAGCCCGCGCTGCCCCCCCACCCCATCCCCATACCCCACGCTGATGCTGTCCCCACAGCGCTCTGGCCCTGGCGTACCGCAGCGCCCGGCACAAGCAGGCAGCACAGCTGCAGCACCTGGAGGCACGGGCAGGAGCCGTGCAGCAGCAGCAGGCGCAGCGCGTGCAGGCATTGGCACGACGGCTGCAGGCCTTGGAGCAGCGCAGGGCTGGCGGCGAGACCTGCATTTAGGGACGCAGGGGACAATAAAGCGCTGATGCTCGTGGCTGTGGCTCGGCCGCACTGGGGGTGGATGGGGGGGCTGTGGGGTCGGCTCATCCCTGTAACAAAGCCGTTCCCCCCCCCCCTTCCCGCGGCCCCAGATGAAGCCGTTCCGTTCGCCCTGACGCGGGATCAAAGGTGACGGCGGTGGCCCCATGCATATTCAGGAGGAAGAGGAGCAGTGACCCCGCACGGGGTCAGGGGCTGGGGGGGGGGGGAGGAGCGGGGCTGGAGGTGGCTGTGAGTCCCCCACAGCAATGAGAGCCCAGCAGAAGTGGGGTGAGCGTGGGGTGAAGATGCGTGCGGGGCTGTGGGATGTGTGGGGCGCTGGGGAGACCGAAGCACGGGGCCGCAGGGGGGGATGGAGGGCTGCAGCACCCTGGGGACGTCCTGCTGTGGAGTTCAAGGCTCAGCAGATCGATATCCAGATGGCGGGTGGGCAGACGGGGTGTGGGGTGGGTGGCAAGGGGGGGAGCAGGGACACCAAGGTGCGGGGTATGGGGATAAAAGGATTCCAGGCAGAGATGGGGCATGGGGACATAAGGATTCTGGGCAGGGATGCAGGGGGCAGAAGTGTAGGGCACAGATGTTTATAAGCATATAATAGATGACCACGTTGCTAAAGATCCCTTGAAGACGTTCTGCTAGGGGAAAAGAGCAGGAGTGGGGCTGTCAGCACTCTGGGGACGTGGAGGGGGATGGCAGGGACACAGAGCTGGAAGGATGCAGAAGTGCAGGGCAGGGATGCACGGTAGGGATGTAGGATGCACAGGGGGGCTGTAGGGCTGCTGTCTCGGCTGGGACAAGGCTGCTTCGTCAGGGGGTTCGGGGGGGGGGGGGGAGCACTGGCAGTGGTGTGGATGGGCTGACCCACGGGTTGAAGGTCAGGGCTCCGTGCTCAGACCCCTTTTCAGATTCAAATGTTTCTCCTGGGGGCTTTGTGCCGGGGTCAGGCTTCACCGAGAGCCTGGTGAAAGGGTCGGGGCGTTCTGGTGGCTTTCATGTCCCGGGTGCTGGGAGGAGGGGGCACAAACAGCCCCAGCCCAGGGATACCCCCCCAACCCCAGAGCCGCTACCAGGAACGGGGCAGCAGGACTCCATTGCTTCACCTGCAAACCTGCAGCTGCCCACGATTCCTCTGCGTGCTCAACGGTGGTTTGCACAACACAGCCACCCCCATGCCTCAACTGCTCCCCATGTGCTGCCAGGAGGCCCAGGGCACCCGCAAAGCCCCAACACCCCAAGAGCAGGAGCCAATGTGCGGCTGCGGCCATTCCCACGGAGCATAGGGTGGGAGGCTGTGCCAGGGAGGGGAAGGGGGGGCACAGGGCTGGGTGCAGCATGGGTGCAGCAGGAGGTGGGGGAGCAACGAGTCCTGGCCCCTGGGGAGGGAGTGTCCAGCAGTGCCGGGGTGGGGGCCGGGGGTGTGGGATCTGATAGCCCCAGGAATGCAGGGCAGGGAGCGGCTTTCAACATGGGAGCAGCTGGGGGGAGGTGGGGGGCAGCTGGGGGGTGAGGAGGGGATGGGGTCTCCCAGCATAGGGCTGGGGGGCAAAACTGCCTCTCTGTGAAGGGTTGGGGGGAGTGGGACTCAACATGCGTGCAGGAGCAACTCCATGTGTAGTCACAGGTGTAGACCTGCAGCCAGATCCAGTGGGGCTGTGGAGATACGGAGCCCTGCGACCTCTCCTCATGGCAGCACTGCTCTGCACGCAGCCTGGGGTGGGGGGAATGGGGCAGGAGATGGGCTGAGAGCAGAGGAAGGAGCGGAGCTGGCGTTCTGCACTTGTAGGGCTGCACGTCCTCATTGGGTTCCAAAAGCAGGATGGATGGACGGATGGACGGATGGATGGATGGATGGACGGATGGACGGATGGACTGACAGCCACCAGCACAAATGCGGGCAGTGCTGCACCCGGTGGGTTTGCAGGGGGCACGGCTGCACTGCAGCCCCACTGCTGAGAAACGGGTCAGTGATGGCACTGCAAACCCAGCCGGGCCAAATGGGCACCGATTGATTCCTCAACCTCCAGATCAGAGGATGGCAGGAGAAAAGGCGGGGGGGGGATGAAGGAGGGGGGGATCAGGGGACACAGAGCAGCGGCGGCGGCACGAAATGCGTTGGCAGAAACAACATTTGCACGAAGGGCACCAGTGGCAGCTGCACCCCTGACAAAATGCATCGGCGCAGGACGCACCGGCGTGAAACCGAGCGGCACAAAACGAGGCGGCCCGAAGCACGGGGGCCCTTTTTGTGCGGGTGAGGCAGCGGAGCAGGGCGAGGAAGGAGGAATTCCAACGGAGATCAAACGCCTTTCGCCCACTGGACACCAACGTCAAAACAAACACGGCTCCCATGGCGGGGCGGGCAGCGCTGGGGGGGGGGGGGGGGGATCCGATTTCCTCCTTTGTTCCTGGATTATTATTTTTTGCAGGGGGCGAGGAGGAGGGGGAGAGGCAGGGAAAGGGCCATAAATCACCGTCTGACAGAGGAGAAAGGAGCTGCGGGGACGGCTGCAGGTGGGGGCTGCTGCCCCCAGGACCCCCCCTCTATTCCAACCCCCCCCACAGCAGCAGCCCCCAGCCCCACACGGCTCGCTGCCACCCCGCAGCCCCGCTCTGTGCACGCAGGTACCGCGTGAGCGCGGATCCCTGCAGACAGGAGGAAATGGAGGTTTTATTTATGGCCGGTGCTGCCATCCGTCTCCCTCTGCTGCTCCGTGGCCTTTGCGCTTTGCTTCTCTTTGCTCTATTTATTTCTTATTTCTTTTTTTCACCCGACCTTCCTCGCTTCTCTTTCCCTTCAGGGCTGGGGATGCCGGCGGTGCCAACCCACGCCTCGCTCCCTGCAGGGTTCCCCCCACGAGGTGTGGGATGCACTGCGCTGCCAGGGGGAGTTTGGCCCCAAGGTGAAAGGTGAAGGCGCAGCCATAGGGCTGTCCCACAGGCAGCCACCTCTGTATGCAGTTTATTCCTTCGTTAATAATTAACCAGGAGCGGCACCTCGGGCACCCCCAGCTCACCGGCCTTGCAGGGCCAGCTGACGAGCTCTGGTCGGGCCGACTTCATTAATGAACCACATGATGAACGCATTTTGTAAGGCTGCACGGAGCTCAGGCCTGAGGGACCCCAAAGCTGCAGGACCCCATGGCTGCGTGCCCCCAATTCCGTGCCCCCCACCATCCCTGTGCCCTTTTGCCCTGTCCCCTTTCCATCCCACCGTGTCCCCATCCCTTTGTCCCCTTCTGTCCTGCGTCCTTCTGCCCTCTCTCCATCTCCATCCCACCCCTGCACCCTTCTGCCCTCTGCCCATCCCTGCGCCTCTCTGTCCCCATCCCCTTCCGTCCCCATCCCTGTGCCCCCCCGCCCCACCCGTGTCCCCCTGCCCCTCCATCCCATCCTCCTCCCCGTCCCGTCTGTCCCGCCGTGTCCGCGTCCCCATTGCGTGCACGCACGCGGGACCGATTCCCGCAGCATCTCCCCCCCCCGCACCGCTCGGCCTTGATCCCCCCCCCTCCAGCACTGCGAGGACGGCCCCGCTCCCCCCGCGGTGCCACAGCGAAGGGCGATGGGGTACAAAGGGGGGGCACGGAAGCGGTGCGGAGGAGGAGGGGGGGGGGGGGGCCGAGGACAGGGCCGGGGCGGGGTGGGGGGGGGCAGCGGGGCAGGACCCGGCGGGCGGCGAGCGGAAGGGGAGGAGGACGGGGAGGAGCATCCAGGGCGGCCACCGCGGCAGCGGCTGAACTTTGCTCTTTCGCGGGAGGCGGGGAGAGCCCGGGGCGCGGGGAGCGGGTCCCGCCGGCCCGGCTGCATGCGGCGGCGGCGGCGGCGGGGCCCGTAGGGAGGGGGGGGGGCCGGGTCGGCGGGGTGGGGGGGGGAGGGCAGCGCCACCGCCTCCTCCTTCCGTCCGTCTGTCCGTCCGTCCGTCCGTCCTCCCGGGGCCGCGCGGAGCGGAGGAGCGGAGCGGCGGTTCCCGCATGCGGCGGAGCCCCGGGGTGATGCTGCGCGCCGCGCCCCGCTCCCGTCGCAAAGTTTGCGCGGGGCCCCCCCGCTGATCCTTAGCGGCGAGGAGAAAGGAAGGGGGGGGGGGGGGGGGGAGGAGGAGAACGAGATCCAAACAGCCGAACAACAGCCAAAAAAAAAACAACAAAAAACCCCGCTCCCTTCCCCACCCCAACCCCCCTCCCCCCCTCTACCCCCAACCCACCGAAGGAGAAAAGAAAACCAAAAAGCCAACCGAACCCGAGCCGGCCCCAGGAAAACTTGCCGAACTCGCTCCGCTCCATGCGGCGCTGACCCGCAGCCATGGCCATGGTGGCCGGCGGGTGGGGAGAGCCCAACGGCGGCGGAGGAACGGCGGAGGAGGCGGCGTCCCCCGCGGGCGGCGGCAGCGACGCGGAGCACGGCGAGGAGGAGCGGCCCGGAGCGGCGGTGGACTGCGTGGTGTGCGGGGATAAATCCAGCGGGAAGCACTACGGCGTCTTCACCTGCGAGGGCTGCAAGAGCTTCTTCAAACGCAGCATCCGCAGGAACCTCAGCTACACCTGCAGGTGGGTGAGAAGGGGGGGCGGCGGGGGGCGACCCCCGGGGTGGCTGCGCTGCGTCCCCGCGGGCGCGATGCTCCGGAGATGGCCGCTCGGTTGCCCGGGGGTGGCTGCTCGGTGGCCGAGGGAGCGGCGCCGCTGCGGCCCGGAGATGGGCTGCACCGTAGCCCCGAGGGTGGCCCGGAGGTGGTTGCGTCGCCGCTCTGGGGACGGTCGTACCGTGGCCCCGGGGGTGGCCGCGTCGTGGCCCCAGGGGCGGCCGCACGGTGGCTCTGCGGTGGTGGCCCCGGTGCCGCTCGCTGGAGGCGTTGCGGCCGCCCGGTTGCAGCAGTGCCGGTGGCCCCGGTTTGGCCGCACCGTGGCCCCGCTGCGACACGAGGCCTCAGTGCCCCAGCGCCTGCAGGACCCCCATCCCCTCCCCCGCCCCGTGCCCCAGCCCTGTGCCGGTGTCACCACCCGG